CCCCCCGCCCCCCCTCTGTCTCCATTGCATGCTGCGCCTGCACACGGGCCCCATTTGAGGGGCCCGACGGTTGCTGAGGGGCCCCCAGGCTGCACACGGGCTCCGAAAGAGGTCGTGGTCATGGCAACAATGCCAAACGACCCTTCAACTTCACACGAGGCTGCGTTTTCAAACGAGGGAGACAGATTAGCAGCTGCCCAGAATGGTGGCTGCCCCGCCAAAGGACGAGGACGCGGGGAAACGAAGACAAACACCACTTCTTCTAGGCCCGGACAAGCAGCTCCAGCTCAAGAACCTTGGACACACTACGGGCTGACGGAGCGAGGGTATCGCGTCCACAACAAGTACCGTTATTGTTTGTGGTGCAACTGCGCGGCACATGAGACCGTGAACTGTCCCACGAAGGCCAAGGGCCCCACTCAGTCGGGAAAGTGAGCACCGCCGAGAGTGATGCGACGACACTCTCGACGCCTTCGAAACCAGTTGCCGTACGGGTGACCCTCCTCGGTTCCGGGGCACATGTGGAAGTCGTAAGCTCCCATTCTTCATTCTTTCGAGGACTATACTGTCCGGCTCGTACCTTCACTGAATTCACGAGCCCAAGGACAAGATGTATGTGCGGTTTCTTCTCCGATCGGAAGCAGCAGCATTGAGTCGTCTTCAAGTGGACCTTCACGGGATTCGATGCGCGCGTTCAACATAGAGGACTTGAACCCGTTGACGCCCGAGGATTTTGCATGGCTCCCTCTCCCTTCCACCGCCTGCTTACCGGAGCCGCAATGCGCAGCTCTTAGCGCTCATCTACATACATACCTGGCCTTCTATGCACCAGCAACTTCACCAACGGTTGACGAAGTCGCGGTGGGGGACATTCTTGCGTACATTAGCAAGGTGGCCCACGAGTTTCGCACGCAGCGGTACGACGGCAACAACGCACTGCTCCTTTATGTTCACATCCAAGTTCGGCAAGCGTCATGCAGCGCTTGCTGGATAGTGACGCGACTGGCAACTTCATTAACCTCTCCTTTATGTGAAGGGCTGACCTTGGACCACAAATTCGAAGGAAGGCACACCCTAAGGCGATCAAGTTGGCGGACAGTAGGATGCAACAACTCCTTGACCGCTACATTGAGGCCGTACCGGTCTATTTCGCACCTCATGCATGCGAACCGGTGACGTTTGACGTCTTGGACACGGATTTCGACATCATTTTGGGCATGCCTTGGCTTGCAAGTGTGGATCACACTATCAACTTCCATGGGCGGACACTTACGGTCTGCGACGCATTTGGCACCGAAGTACCATGTACCATCCCTCTTCCGCACCCTTCGATCCGATGCCAAGTCGTAACACCCAAATCTTTTCGGGCCACTTGCGCTTACGAGCGGACCGACGAGATAGGCTTATGTTTTCTTCGCACCGTCGCGGCAGACGAATCTCAACTCATGGATTTGTCTTCGGACCCCCGTGTGGTACGGTTGCTTGACGAATTCGCTGACATCTTCGAGTCACCTACCGGCATGGTGCCAGATCGACCGATCTCCCACGAGGTCCTTCTTGAGGCCGGTGCCGTGCCACCGAAAGAGTGCATCTATCGCATGAGCAAGGATGAACGTACAGTACTCTGCGCACAACTCGATGATTTGTTGGACAAAGGTTGGATCTGGCCTAGTAGCTCACCCTATGGTGCGCTTGTTCTCTTCGTGCAGAAGAAGAAGAACGATCTTCGCCTATGCATCAATTACCGCAAGCTCGATGCACAAACTGTCAAGAACGCGGGACCTCTTCCTCGTATTGACGACCTTCTGGAGCGTTTGGGCGGTGCGAAATTCTTTTCCAAGTTGGATTTAGAGTCGGGGTATCATCAAATTTTGATACGCCCGCAAGATCGCTACAAAACCACGTTTAAGACGCGGTACGAGCATTTTGAGTGGGTCGTCATGCCTTTCAGATTCATTGACGCCCCGTTGACTTTTCAAGCGCGATGACTAACGAGTTTCGTGCAATGCTAGACCCGTCCGTGCTGGTGTACTTGGATGACATCCTCGTCTATAGCCGAACCTTGGAGGAACATCTCGAGGATCTCCGACGAGTGTTGGAGACGCTCCGTCGCGCCAAGTACAAAGCCAACCGCGACAAGTGTCAATTCGTACGTCAAGAGTTGGAGTACTTGGGCCATTTCGTCACTCCTCAAGGCAGCAGTGCATTGTCGGATAAGATTCAAGCCATCACAGATTGGTCGGAGCCGCAGAACGTCACAGATGTCCGTTCGTTCCTTAGCCTTATCGGCTACTACCAACATTTCATCAAAGGGTACTCGAAGATCGCGGCCCACTTATCCAAGCTTCAATTTGAGGACCGGTCATTTGACTTCGGGACGGATGCGCGGGAATCATTTTTGGCCCTTAAGGCCACATTGCTATCAGCGGAAGTCTTGCGAATATACGACCCGCTATTGCCAACACGCGTCACTACGAATGCGTCCGGCTATGACACTATTGTCGTCCTCGAACAACATGATGGCGTGGACAGGCACCCCGTCGAATACTTCAGCAAGAATGGGTCGGTCGTGCATTCAATCGATGACGCACGCAAGAAGGAACTTCTCGCCTTCGTCCACGCACTCAAGCGGTGACGACACTTCCTCCTTGGTCAACACCAATTCCGATGGGTAACCGACAACAATCCGTTGTTCTTTTACAAGACCCAAGACACCGTCAACAGCACGATCGCCCATTGGCTATGAATCCCTCTCGGCGGCGGCCATTCGCGGCCGGGGCCTAGGCAGCGACCCCGTGGACGTGTCCGCACGGCCGCGCGGCCTTTGCGGCCACATAGCGGCCAGTGGGGAAAGGCGTTCGGGATTCGGGAAGCGCCATGGGGCGACGCATCCCCAGCCCCACCCCCTCAAACAAAAAATAATTAAAAAAAAACTATTTTTTTGTGGGGGGGGTTGGGTGGGTGAAGGTATTAAAAAAAAAAAAAAAAAATGTTTTTTTTTTTTTTTTTTTTT